TTGCTTGCAATGTATAAATTGATTAGTGATAGCTAGAGAATTCATGTAAATCTTAACAAGATTAAAATTAAACACACAGATAGAAAAAGTCGATCACATTTGATTAAGCTTCCGTAATTTATGGGGAAGATAAACTGGCGAGGTGGTGTTCACAGTTCCCAAGCCATTTCTTTAGGCCTCCAGCTGACGGCTGAAGTCGGCGCCGGACATGGCTTATGGTGTCACGGAGCTTTGCAGCCTGCGTTGAACTTTTATCCTTTGGTAGTACTGATGCAACAAATGTTGCCCAGTTCTCAGCAATGTTAGGATACTGATGGAGAGCTTTCTGAGAGCTTATGGAAGCTGATTCCACATCATTAGAGAGTAAGTGTGCCACACTAATTATGGATTGAATCTAAAGAGAATGATCAATAATGCATTAGATGAAAAAATGTCAAATAGAGAAACAAATTTCCACTGCTAATAATTTACCTTTGTTATATCCATGTTGCCCCTTCCCAAATCAATAGCAGCTTGGGCTGTACGTCGAATTGCTGCAGCATCACAATTGGGATGAGCATGCATCTGAACTTGCGAGAGAGCCAGCCACAATCCCCCTTCTCCTGGATGACGATGTATAGCTTTGCTGAGAGCTCGCAGTGCTCCTGTCTGGTCGTTCTGTAAAAAACATGTGACTGGTCAGTGTAAAGGAACAAAAAATACTGAGGCACAATAAATAGTCCAATTACCTGAATGAATGCAGTATATGATGCAAGGAGCCCAATGTGCGCTATGTACCTTGGGTCATCCTTAAACTGCCCCAGTTCTTTGAGCATAATTTTTGACATGGTGATGTCTTGGTTCAGCAGACCAATTGCACATAGAGCAAGAAGAGGATGGGCAGAGAGGGGCCTTGGTTGTATGCTGTAGTGACAAGCCAGAGGTAGAAGATGTGGTAGATAGAAATATTAGACAAACAAATCAAGCCAATAGAGTTTACTCCTGTCTTACCTTTGGAATAACAAAGTTTTGCAATCTTCCAACTGACCGAAACTGTACTGCATAGCTGCCATTGCCATGAGAATGAGAGCTTTTGTTTCTTCATCTGGTGCAAGCCACTCCAGAGCTGAGCTATAAGCTCCATAGGCCTCCTCAAATTTTTCAGCTGAAAATGGAGTTTTAAAAATTGCTTAGTAGCAGTCAATAACAGTAAAGATGAATTCAAGTGGTAAATTACTTGTTCAGTGTTCACCTTTATAAAGAGCTAGGGCGAGTCCTGATTGGGACGCAAAACTAGGAACAGTAACTTGTTGTAAAATATCAACAGCCTTTTCATAATCTTTCAGATTAACTAGTATTCGACCTAAATTGCAACGGATGGCATTCATGGGGACTGAATCTGAACCTTGGAGTATGGCTTCTTCAAGACCTCTTTGAAATGCCCTCTGAGAACTTTGGAACAATCTTTGCCTCTCAAGTAACAGCCCTAACATATTCCAACCACAGGGATTAGAGGCATGCCGCTCTGAAAATACCACCAGTCCCAACAGTTGTTAGAACACCATAGACTTTACATGTCGTTCACAACATGTCGACGTGTTAAAAAGTAAAGTTTCAATAGTTGCATCTATCACCTGTGTACCACTTCATACAATCAGCAGCCACTTCCAATGCATACATGCTTTTCATGTCTTTAATGACCATAATCTCCTCTCCATTATCAATTTTTGATAGTTTTTCATTGTTTAAAAGTGTTGTTAAAACCCAATGTGCATAACCAGAACAACTTTCATGATGATACTCCAAAGATGCAGCATGTCTAAACAAATCTAGAGTTTCATGGTGGTCCATCGTCTCTGCAATCATGGCCTGTAAAAGTGAAAAAATTTTGCCTTCTTCATTAAACCATACTTAGAGTGAAAATTCAACCCAGAACATCAGGAGACCCTTCTGCCAAATGTTCACTCACCTGACCCACCCAACATCTTGTGTAGCTATGGTCCACCCTCTGTGCAGCTGAAAAAGCTTTGTTGGCTAATTGTATATCTCCTATCATAAGGTAGAGTGTACCTAAATTTGTCCAAGCCAATGGACTAGAATTATCGAGGAGAATTGACTGAATAAACGCGTGTTGTGCCACAGCCCATTTCTTAATTTCTGCAAGAGTTGGGAATAAAGCTCGTTGTTAATTTAACAGCATATATTTTTTCAAAAGAGAGAAACCGGAATAAAAGAAAATTGTGTCTTCACCTTCTGTTGCAGCAACTACCCCAAGAAGATTCCAGTGCATGGCATTTTTGGGGTTTAGCGTTACTGCTTGGCGGGCTCCTGTCATAGCTCGTTGTAAAAGTTCATTTCGTTTATTAGACTTCTGAACAGCCATTGCATGCCAGAAGTTTGTTGATGCTAAATCGTGCCATATCAGACTACTGTCCTGACTTATTGACATAGCTCGGCAGTACATCCTCTCTGCTAATAGAAACATGTCCATTTTCCTTTGTAATGAAGTCTCTCTTCTATTAGAGCTTGCACTAGGACAAACAATCCATGCCGTAACATGAAAACTAGCATAAAAAGGCGGTAATTTGGCTCCTAACAGACAAGTGTCACCTAATAATTTCCAAGTGCATGACAAATCCTGTCTTTTATTCAGAACTCTGCAAGAGATTTATTGAATAGTTGTAATTGCTCAGAAGAGAGTAATATGTTAATTCCCAAAACATTAGTCAGATTCCTACTTTGTAAAAGCATCAATAGCCTCCTGACAGCGGTCCTTGGCACAGCCAATGCGCTGTTCTTGCCGTAAAACTTGTGCCCAGCGGAATGCAGCTTCTCCTTGTCCCTGCAAGCCTGGCACATAATCCTCAGATAGCTCTATGAGTTGCCTGAAGGCAATGAGAGCATCCTCAAATTCTTCCATACGCTATGGATAGGAGAAAAGAGATATTGCTTCAAAAAGTAAAGATTTAGAAAGAAAAAAAAGCATTGACAAGCTATGAATTCAGTGGACCAACCAGTTTTACTGTTCCTATCTGATATGCAGCATATATATTTTCTGGTGACAACTGCTTCACTTTCATAAAAGACTTTAATGCGGCGTGCCAAGATCCCCGCAGCATGTATGCATCACCAAGGCTTTCCCAAATCCGACTGAAATAGGTGACAACAATTTATAGAGCATTTTCTCAGATTGGAAATGTTTTACCAGCTAGTAGGAATTTTGGTTTAGGACATACCAATCAGAGGGATCACTGCGAACAGCATTACAAAGGAAGTTGATTGCTTTCTCAACCTCTCCACACTCTGAATGTAAAAGACCTAAACGGAGCCAAATCCACTTTTCATTACTTGTCTGAGTCATCATATCCAATAATTGAATGTTACTTTCCTGGGTTGAAAAACAGATTTTCATAAATATTACAGTCAGTTAAATTAAGTTTACAGCAAAAAAGCAATTTTACTCACAACATCATGTAGTTGCAGTAACACATCGCTGAGATGCTTAGCAATTTGAAGAGATTTTGGGTTGAGCTGCAATGCTTTCTGATAACATCTTCTTGCTTTGTCCAAAGAAGCCGGTGTCGATATTTTTTTATACTGGTTACCCAAGAGCATAAATGTTTCCCAGTAGAATGGTTCACAACGTGCTGCCTATTAAACAAGATTCAAAACAATTAGAAAGTTAATCTACTATTAGATAAAAATAACTGGCAGGACAATTACCTCCATCAAATCTGTCAAGACATTGTTTTGTTTTCCAGAGTTCCCATGCAGTCGGGCAAGAGCTAACCAAATTTCAGCATCTTTTGCATCAGAGGCAATTGACTCTAAAACAAAAGCAGCTTTATCACTCTGCCCTGAAAGACAAAGTATTTGAGCATGAAGCAGTGTTACTTTAGCTGAGCATGTCTTTGAAGTCCCAATTTCTATGAATTGTTTTTGAGCCTCTTCAAAATTCTTAAGTTGTACACAGGCTCTTGCATAAAGTAAGTGAACAGCTACATCTGTATTTTTTTCAGACAAAAGCTGAAATAAAAATAACAAGTATAATAGATCGGTATGAAATCCATACATAATTTGACCACTTTTTCTAGTTTTTCAGTTTTTTAAACCCAAACAAGACCCAAGTACCTCTTTGCAAAGTTGAGCTGCTCTATTTAAATTTTCTTGTTGAAGTGTTCCAATTAGAGTTTCCGCCTCACACCTTTTTAAGACATACTCCTGGTTGGTTGATAGTTGCTTGACTCTCATTTTAGCCTCTGATAAAAGAGAAAGAGCTTCTTGCGGCAGTCCAAACTTCAACTCAACATCAGCAAGCAGCAAGTACACATGCCACGGAGACTGCCCACTTGTCAAGGCTGGAATCAACAGACTCTTTCATCAATGAAGAAAGATTGCCCTCCTAATTTTCCCTCCATGATACGTAGTTCACCAACCTTTATTAAGTTCTTCTCGTGCTTTTACAAGTTCAGAGCGACAAAAATGCATTGCTCCCTTTGCCATACTGACAGAACTTGCAGCTGGACAAACAATCTCTAAGGTGTTAACATATTTCTCAATAGTATCCTTGATGAAACCAATATCTTTCCCCTCTGCTACAAATTCTACCCACAGCTTACAGATCCATTCCAAAGGGTATGGATCTTTACTAAATGTTTCAGCCATCAACTTTGCTTCCTTGAAGAGCTTTTCATAATCTTTACTTCGATACAGATGTTTCAGGTACTGACGATAAAATTCTTGAATGTCATAATCATTGCCCTTTGGGTTCTCTCTCCAATCTAGGACAACTTGTTCCAACGCCTTCTGAATCTGAAAACATTAAAAGCGTCTATATATTTCAAACAAATCATAAAAGGCATGCAGCTTTCAACTGAAACCTGAGCATATCCTTTACTAAATGTATCAAAAATTATATGAAAATATTAAACGCACCACAATTGAGTCAGTCTCTTTCAAATCTTTCATTTGGAAAAGTGCTTTCAAGAAACACCTTCGTATCTCGCTTACTGGTAGCATGTCACTTTGCAGCTTAGGAAGGAGGGACAAGCATTCTTCAGAAGATTGCAATTTTATTGCAAGTTCAGAGAGTTTCATAGCCATCTCATGCTTTTTAGTACCGTCACTAAAATCATATTAGACATGTACATTCAAAATATGAATGGAGAGAAAATTTGACAATAGATCTCCAATGATAGCACTTACATCTCCTGAGGTAATAGATAGGCATAAGCTCTTAAGACATCACCTTCAAATTCTGATTTTATATTCTTTTTATGTTTTTCATAGTAAGATACTAAACCTTGCCAAGCAAGCGGTTGGTCTGGTGACACTTCACTTGCTTTTTTATATGCCTTGGGAGCCTCTTCATGCTGATCAGATTCCTGAAGTGAGGCTCCAAACAGTACCAGGGCCACATAGTTGTCTCTGTCGTCCTTCAACACTGACTGAAATTTGAAAGATATAAGATCCATGAAAGTTGACACCAAGAAATAATTACACGTTTTAAACTTTAAAAAAACTAGGCATTAATTCATTCATAGTTGTCACTCTGCCATTTAGCACTACATTAACATTTTCACTTTCTTTAGAACAATACTGACTGCAGACGCATATAGGTTAGGTTGTACCTATACTTTTCGTTAGCCTACCTTGCATAACTTAATAGCTGTCTTCGTGTCTTTACTTTTTATCGCCTCCTTCGCTTCTTTTAAAACGCGTTTTATTTCTTTACCGTCCATGGCACAATTCAGACTTATTTTCCATTCAACAACCAATAATGACCAGCAACGCTAGTTTATTTTGATGTCTACACTACACTCTACACCCTCCACCGATTATTCGCACGCCGCACGCAGTTCGTCTGCCGGCGGCAACGACCAACCAGCAACATCCGGTACAGTGCATATGCTACTCCTTGGTTCATTTCATGTAAGAAAGTAATGTGTTGATGTAGCAGCAAATAAGAAGTCAGAATGTGTGAGCATTTTCCATAGGTTTTATTTGATTCATTACCTTGCTGTGAGGTTTTATGCAACACATCCTGCATTTTTTCAACAATTTCTGGAAAAGAAGACATCATTGAGATGTCAAATTACAATGTGTGGGTATCTTGGTTGGTCTAATCTTACACTTAAAACATGAAGTTGATGTTGGAGCACAGAAACACACAACACAGATGCAAAATAAATTATTTTTTAATAATTCTTCTTTAGTACACAACATCTTACTTAAGGCACAAAACCGTGATGAAGATTAGTGTCCTTCCCCTTTACATGGTGAGCAAAAACACACACACTTGTAATAACAATATAAATTCCCTACAACAACATTGACTACTGCCCAAGAAATTTCCCTCCGTCAGTTTTTAAAAGTGGTCAAGAAAACATGGATTTATTGCACTAAATAAAAGACTGAAGAATCTTGTATCCCTGGCAGAACTTAAAAAATAGATGATATCACAGTGATATCACAAAAACTCTTTACAGCTTGAGAGGTCTCCCATGACATTCAGCCAAAAACATTAATTTTTATAAGAAATGCAGCAGATAAAATACCATCTCTAGCTCATGTAGAAATCTAAAAAGTACATAAATTCATATGTAGTACTTGCATCACTTCTTATGCTCCTTCAACCATTCTTCTAACATATCAGACAAATTAGATTTCTTATCCTCGACTGCTCTCTCTTTAATCGATTCAATAGGTGGCTCACAGTTTGCAGACTCACCCCACCTCATTTCATCACTGTTCTTGGACATTCCTCTGGGCAGCACAAAGCCTTTAGGCTTTCCGGTTTTTAGGGACTTAACAGGTTCATCTGGTTTATTATTCCCTTTCAGCCACTCTTCCAAAAGTTCTGATAGATTAGATCCCTTGTTTTCTTCTGATTCCTCTTCAGGCTGAGAAGAACCCATGCCAAGAACACCTAAGTTTCTTTCAGGGGCTAAATGTGAAGAATGTGGTCCAAGAACTTCTTTCTGTAAGTTTCTTTCTGGGGCTGAAACTAAAGAATGTGAACCATGAAGATTTCTATTCGAGTTTCTTCCAGAGTCTGAAATTGAAGAATAAGAACCAAGAAGATCTCTCTCTGAGTTTCTTTCAGGGGGAAAAACAGAATTAAAGTAAGGAGCTTCTTTTATGTTGCCAACAGACTGTTCTGGCACTTTGGACTTGCTATCCGCCTGGAAATGTTGTTTCCCATAAAACATTGGATTAATAGAGCTGTTTGTAGAAGATTCAGCCCATTCTGTCTCATAGTGAGCTACATATCCCATGGCAGTTCTCTCACTTGAAGAGCTAGCCCAAATTGGTTTGTTGCTTTCAGATGTCTTTCCTTGGGGACCATTATACCACATTGATTGCATCTCTTGAACTTTAGCAGAATTATACCACATTGATGTATCTTCCACTGGCCTCGCTTGCACAGGATCAAACCAAACTGGTTGGGCATCCTCAATTGAGCTTTCTTTTGAAGAATTACGATACAATGATTGAGCATTGTCAATAGAAGTCTTAGGGGATTTTAATTGATTAGAGGACTTATCTTTTAATGACTTAGAACATGCTGCCTTATCTTCTTTGGAAGATTTACCCCTATTTGACGGTAAATCTGATTTTGACTTGCCTTGAGGGACGTCGGTTTTTAATGGTTTACTTGGTTCTACTGCCTTTTCGTTTCGAGATTCCAGCAGCATTGATTTTTGATCCTCCAGAAAGGATTTACCCCACTGAAAATTATTCTCTTTTATAAAAGATGCACCCCAAATCAATCCTTCATCGTCTTGATCCTCTTTACTATCTTCTTTTACTTTACTATCTGCTCTACCTTTTCTAATTGCTCTATCTTTACTATCAGCTCTTGCTTTATTATCTGCTCTATCTTCTTTTATTTCCTCAACAGAATTATCATTTGATGAATCATCATTTCCTATGGACATGTCCATTGGAGACCCAGAATATATTGATACATGATCTTCTTGTAAAGATTCGTCCTCAACTGACTTGTAATCTTTACTTGCAGGACCTATTAGCGATTTGTAAGAAGAATCTCCCCTGACCCCATCTCTTACAGTCTCACCCCATTTGGACTGTTTTTCTTCTCTTGATTTATCTTTTGAAGAATTAAAGAATATTGATTTTGTATCAATAACTACTTTTTCCATTGATTGCTTTATCATTTGTTCAAAATCATTGTACTGCTTCTCTAAGTACTCAGTTGATTTAAATGTGCTACCTTCTATTGCTGTTGTGCTTGTCCAGCTTGTTTTTAAGCAATTATCTTCAATTCTCATGGTGGATACCGGATTTGATTTGAATTTATCTTCTAAATGTCTCTCTGTTGAAGCTGGCTTTGATTTAAGTCTGTTGTCATCCAGTGGCCATCCTGAGGGTACTACACTTGACTTAATTCTAGTGTCTTCTATTGGTCTCCCGGGCAGCACTGGATTTGGTTTAACTCTTTTATCTTCTGTGGGTCGTTTGGTGGGTACTGTACTAGAATTGAATCTAGAATCTTCCATTAGTCTCGCAGTTGGCACTGGATTTGATTTCAGTCTATCATCTTCTGTGGGCCTCATTGTGGGGGCCGGATCTGATTTAAATCTAGAATCCTCCAATGGTCTCCCAGAAGGCACAGAATTTGACTTAAATCTACTGTCTTCCGTGGGCCTCATTGTGGGGGCCGAATCTGATTTAAATCTAGAATCCTCCACTGGTCTCCCAGAAGGCACAGAATTTGACTTAAATCTACTGTCTTCTGTGGGCCTTATTGTGGGAGCTGGATTTGATTTAAATCTAGAATCTTCCACAGGTCTTCCGGTTGCCGTTGAATTTGACTTAGATCTATAGTCATCTGAGTGTCTCCCCAAAGAAGCTGAATTTGATTTAAATCTGCTGTCTTCTGATATTCTTCCAGATGAAGTAGCATTCAATTTTAATGCATTACTTTCTAGAGGCATTGGTGTCTGATTTGATCTAAACCTGTTATCTTCAACTGGTTGCCCGGGTGGCAGTGAATTAGCTTTTGATTTATTTTCCTCTTTTGACTTACCAGTCAAGGACGGATTTGTTTTCAGTCTGTTGTCTTCCATTGATTTCTCTACTGAGGTAGAGGGCGTAATAACCTCATCATCTTTTGGAGGTTCCCCCCATCTTGATTTTTTAAGCTGTCTGTCTTTGGAAGAATCATGCCAAGATGATTTTTTGTCTTCAGCTGATCTGTCTGTCAATTCACTAGTTTTAAATCTGTTTGTTTCTGCAGACTGCACTCTTGAAGGCCCAGCCCAAACTGTTGTAGTATCTTCTTTTAAAGGCTCACCCCATCTCGACTTTTTAACCGGTCTTGAAATATTATTAGGAGTAGCCAACAGTGGTATTTTATTTGATACAGGTGTTGGCAACAATGGTAACTTATTAATTGGTGGTGTAGCTAATAATGGTATTTTGTTCAATGGGGGCTTGGTAGACTCCTGGAATGAGGCTTTTTTCTCTTTCTGGGCAAGTTCATCTGATTTTGATTTTTTATCATCTCTGAACTTGTCTTTGAAGTCTCCATATGACATAGGACCCATGTCTTCCACAGGCTTTTCTTCAGGTTGATCAGATGATTCGGATGTTTTGTTAACTTCTTTAGACTTCCTTATTTTAGGGATTTTAAATCCTTTAAATTGTTCTTTACCACCACTAGATTTTTCATCATCTTTTAATCTATCTCTAGAAGAATCAGATTCAGTTTTTTTACTAGCTCTGGATTTTTCTTTGGAGGACTCATTTAATTCTTGCTTGCTATGACGAGACTTTTCCTTTGATGACTCTGAGTCAGACTTTTTGTCTCCTTTGGGCCTCTCCTTTGAGCTATCAGAGGACTTAGATTTTTGATCTTCCATTAATCTTACATCAGGAGACTCAGAAGATTTTCTCACATCATCATGTGTGTGTTTGGTTAAATGATTGGTATCAGTTGATGACTCCAGTGATGACAATGTAGTGTCTTCCTTTAGCTTCTTTTTTAAAGGTTCCAGTGAGTGAACTTCATTGGAGTCTCCCATTTTTTCTCTGCATTCATTAGGTGGATGTGCTTTTCTTGTTGGTGGTTCAAGTAACTTCTCTTGTTTTAAACTTACTGAATCAGAGTGGTCTGGAGATGATGAACCTTCACGGTCTTCTAGTGACATCTCAGTAGTGCAAGGAGATTCACTTAAAGATTCCTCTTCTAGAACATCTTTGGTGTGCACTGTTTTTCGGTCTTTCCCTTCTTGTTTGGAAAGATCAGATGAATATGACTTCTCTTTCTTATGCAGCTGCAACATAAATTAACCAATATGAGACATAGGCTCTTGTTGAGAATGCAAGACAGAACATGTCTATTTTATTTTGACACCAAGTATAAATATCCACTTACATTTTTATGCTCCTTCTCTGTGTGTACAAAAAGGTCCTCTTTCGAAGTAAACCATTTTGTACAACGCTTACAGTCAAAGATTTTATCTCTGTGATTTTTTTTCATATGCTTGACTAGCCTAGAGGAAGACGATGAATTATGACCACAAAATTGACATTTACGTTCGTCTCTGTGTTTTTGAGTGTGTTCTTTCAAAACTTGCTTTTGAGCAAAACTCGCCTCACATTCCTCACACCTACAAAGAAGAAATC